CCACACTTTAGGATACAGTATTAAAAAAATATATATTATATTCATGCAATCATGCACAAACTGAATTTGACTCTTTGACTTTAAGCACATTTTGGGACTATCTCAGAGGAAAGCTAGGTGAGATTTAGATACAGCAAGAGAGAAGAAATTGACATGCTTTTTGTTTATTTGGCAAAAAAAAGGAGAATGTGTATCACTATCTCTACAAGAACTTGTGCATTTTAACACATAAATCTTATTTACACAAAGAAATTAACTTTCATGCATCAACTGCTAACTTTTGTAGCTCTTACCAAAATTCTATCTTTTAAAAGAAAAAGAGAGCAACTCTTAAAACACTGTCTTTTAAATGTCAATATACATGAAACCTCATTGCCTATAGATAATTAAGCTATAGCAATAGCAAAGGCCATAAACATAAAGTGAAATTTAAGTTCAACCTCAACACAAAAACAGTATCAACAATGCTTCTATTCCCAAAATGTGAGGGTACTTTTTTCCACTTAAAATTAAAGTGCAGGATTTGGAAACGTACAGTATGACTGAAGCTCTTATCTATACATAAAGTGCCACTGTAGTTAAATTAAAATATCATAACATGAAATCCAAAATGTTCCCACACACCGGACTTATACCATAGACTCATACGACGCTGGCGCGTCCTCCAACTCCCTCATCTCTCCCACTTGCCATTTCTCCGCGTGCCGTGACCTGCAGCGCTCCATACTCCGTTTTTACCGGCTTGTTTACTAACTTGAACCGGCGCTGCACAGAGCGATCGGTAATCACATCAAATACCGCGAAAGTGATGAATGCATACGGAGCCGACTCGCTCTGTACAACGCTGGTCCAAGTCGAACAAGTTTATGTCGCGCGAAAAGAAAACACACGTCACATACGGGCACGAGGTTACATTGCGCATGCGTCGAACCGTGAGACGCACACACGCTCCGAACCGAGACAAGCGAACCGAACGGTTCGGGTGTTTTTTCATGTACCGTGCCACCCCTAATATATATATATATATACCTTTATCATCATCTAACACTCACATACAACTTGCGCTCCCTGGGTGGATCGGCACAAAAAGGAGGCGTGTTTCGGCACAAACATTACCCAGTGCTGGTAAACCTGCCATTATAATAACAATCCGCCATGCAACATGTGCACCTGCTCTTAAAGGGTGTGTTGGATGACGCTCTGATTGGTTTATTTCACGTTACGTCCAAACCACACCTATGAATAATGAAGCTACTTCAGACCAACTCCTTTTAAACTTGTGTCGGGTGCAAGTCATTTATCCCACCAGTAAAATAACAACAGCGCCCAAGGCCCGCTTTGCACTTGATACTTGCGTTTCAGATTGTTAAAATAGGGCCCTTAATGTTAAAAAAAAAAAGGCAAATAATTTAACAACACTGTTTAACAAAACACATATGTCGTACATTTCATATATTATAATGTAACTCCCCAACATTGGTCCAAGACTTTATGTGATCCCAGGCTGTTAAACGCCACTGTATGTCGGCACATAGGGTCCTGAAGGGAAACGTTTTTAGGCATCCTAGAAAAACCACAGAGGGTAAAAAGTTGTCTAAAGACTAGTCTCTAATATTACCCTTCAGGCAAGACAAAACCATTGATTTTCATGCAATAGTCAATTTGGGGTCTTTTGGTTTCCATAACTTGTCTTCTTCCAGACTAGTGGAAAGAAAACATGCATAATACCCATTTGAGTGTTCCTTTTATTTAACTTTATCTATTTACTCCTGTAGATTTAAAGTAAAACACAAATAGATGTTGGAAAAAAAATAGATTGGAAAAAAATTTGACGTTTGGTGTAAGTAGACGTTGAGCCAGTAGGTCCTGAAGGGAAACGTTTTTAGGCATCCTAGAAAAACCACAGAGGGTAAAAAGTTGTCTAAAGACTAGTGGGTTCGTGTTGTGTAGTTACCATCCAATTTTACCCGCAATTGAGCTTGGCGAGTGTTCATTTTGGCCCCTGCTTTCAACTGCACACAACAGGAAAAGATGTCAGATCTTATCAAAGAAAGTCAGGTTGAACGCCATGAAGCGAGCCCCAGGGTGCTTTGCACGAGTTTGGAAACATCCCCGTAGGCTTGAATTCACCCCAAGGGCAACTTGGGCTTGAATTCTGTCGCTGTATGAGTCAAACTGGACCCACACTAAGATGAAGTGTTTGTGTATTTGCCTTCCTGCTGTTTCCTGGACTCCCCAGGCATGTGACCTCTTGGCCCGGGCTTGATTTATTCATTTGAAATCATTTAATCTGATGGGTTACATTTTGTCAAAACACTGTCTCATTAACCGTGGTCCATGCACTTGGTTTCTCGTTCGACCTATTGTACTGCCATGGGGCAGCAGAGTAAACACACACAGAGCAAAGCGCTTGTGCTAAGAGAGACTGTGGCCATGAATGCACGCTTTGTTCTAAGGTGTGCTGCTGTGGCCAAAAGACGATTAGCAATGTCTTGATTTACTCATGCAGATGGTCTGGTCCAATGGACGCTGATGGATTGCATTTGAGAAGGTCACGTTAGTTGGACTTTGGGCCTGTCTGCATGCTCTGGCCAGTTTGTTATCTTTCACGAGATGAAAACGTGGAATGAATCATTGTGTTTGACACGCCGGTTGATTCCCGTTCAGTGTGGCTTTACTGGCATCGGAAGATCGTCCCAGAGGTGCCGCTTGGTTTGGGGTTGTTGTTTATCCTACCTCTGCGGAAAGCTTTCGGTTTGGCTGTTTTCATGTGAATTTCATGTGACTTTTACCAGCAGGCATTGAGTCTGGAGTGGGGTTCGTCGGAATGGATGAATCGGCGTCTCTGCTGGGAGCACTGACCCGCAAAGTTCAACCTGAAGAATGTGTGGGCCTGATCTTTCGTTGAAAGATTTTCCGTTAAACCGCTAATGTGCATATTGCACATTGTGATCCTGCCAAAGATTAGATGCAACTTCTAATGTATTAGTCATTGAGAAGCACATGTCTCTAATATTACCCTTAAGGCAAGACAAAACCATTGATTTTCATGCAATAGTCAATTTGGGGTCTTTTGGTTTCCATAACTTGTCTTCTTCCAGGCTAGTGGAAAGAAAACATGCATAATACCCATTTGAGTGTTCCTTTTATTGCACTTTATCTATTTGCTCCTGTAGATTTAAAGAACAACACGTATAGATGTTGAAAAAAAAAATATAGATTGGAAAAAAAACAACATTTGGCGTATGTAGACGCTGAGCCAGAAATCTCTTCTTCAGCGTCTACACACATCAAACGTTATTTTTTTCCTATCTATATTCTGAAGACCAAGGGGTTTGTTCATTTAGCATTTTCTGAGAATGAGAGAACACAAAAGCATTGACAAATTTAAATTGTCCTTCACCATGTCCCTTTAGGGGCTCCATAATTATCTGATTTATGAAGGGATTATGAGAGATCCAACATTCCTTCAAAAAAACTTTATCTCCAATATGTCAACAAAACGAAACATTTTCGAATCTGGTGTTGAAATTTCGGTTCTGGAAATGTATCCAAATTAGTGCATATTTAATTAGATATTGCCTTATTTGCAACACATTGAAATATATATATATATACACCATACATATGTAATATGTGTATATGATACTGTATATGTATACACTCTAAAAAATGCTGGGTCATTTTAACCCAACTTTGGGTCAAATATGGACAAACCCAGCCATTGGGTTACATTTTTTTAATTGCATTTTTAACCCAACGTTTGGGTTTGTCCATATTTGACCCAAAGTTGGGTTAAAACGACCCAGCATTTTTAGAGTGTTTATGATATCTTTTAGTATTGTATGGCGATATCTTTTAGTAAATTGTTTTACTAAATGAATATGGATCCTTTTCATATTTCCAGGGTTCCCAGAAGCGGAAGTCATCATAGTTGGGTAAACTTATGGGAGATGACAGCAAAATATAATTTTTGTATTTGCATTTGCTCTAAATGTAGAGCCCTCAGCCGTTGTATTAGAAACATTTTGTTATTCACTGCAAACATAGTGTTATGAATGTGTATTAATTTACAAAAAAAACAATATATATATATATATATATATTAGGGCTATGCAAAAATTAATTGCGATTAATCGCATCCAAAATAAAAGTCTGTGTTAACATAATATATTTGTGTGTGCTGTATATAATTATTTTGTATATATAAATATACACACATGCATGTATATATTTAAGAAAATGTGTTATTCATATATAAAATATTTATATTTATATAATATAGATTATGTATTTATATATATAAACAGAGTTTAAGCGCAAATAATTCTTAAATATATACATGCATGCATAGGTATTTATATATACAAAATAATTATATACAGTACACACAAATATATTATGTAAACACAGACTTTTATTTTGGATGCGATTAATCGCAATTAACTTTTGCACAGCCCTAATATATATTAAAAAATTACTAGATACCTGTGTAAACGTTTCATCACAGTCTGTGAAAAGGGTCCATTATGCCATCATCGTCCGCTTTTTTAGTTAAAAACCTGTACGACAAAAGTATAAGACTTTTGATTTACTACACTACTATAAATATACCATAATAAACTCCTGTTGTTTCTTGTTTCATTATGAGAAGTTGTGGTCAGTTGTGGACTTGTGAACAAAAATATCTCCTTTTTTGTTTCACTGAAGAAAGTAAGCTATGGGTTTTTTTAATAACATGAGGATGAGAAAATAATGACTGTGCTTTTTTTTTTTTCCGCGGGTGAACTATTCCTTTAAGTGGGCGAACCCTAGAGAAAATAAACATTAGATGCAGATTTGCAAGAAATACTGTTGCACTAGTTACACATTTTATCATATCAAAGTTTTCAATGTTGTCGTTCTGTTTATGGCCGTTGGTATGTGAGGTTTGTCTTTATTACTTACACAGTTTATCTGGCAGTCTCTTCTGTATGCTTATTAAATCTCTATGTTTGCAGGGTTTCAAGACCAAAGATGGATATTTGGTTGTGGCAGCGGGAAATGACCAGCAATTTATGAAAGTGTGCAAAGTAAGCAGAGACCTTTTATTATGGACTCAAAATATGCATATTAATAAATCTACCCAAGCTTTATTTGTACATTTCAGTCACAGTCATATTTTATAGCTATATGCATTTGTTTTGACTGATGGGAAAAGGCTTCACAAAACGTGTCTGTTTGCCTAAGGTCCTGAGCATGAACGGTCTGGCCGAATGCCCCAAGTACAAAAGCAACCAGTTAAGAGTCCAGCACCGCAAAGAGCTGCTGCACATTCTGTCTGAGAGGTACGTCAACGTGAAATCAAAACCAAACCTGTGAGTAATGTGCACCATTCATCAGTGCACATGATTCCAGTCAGTAAATGTTTGAGGATAGCGTCTTCATCAACATGTATTAGCTTGCTCCACTTGACCACCTTTTTCGACTGACGTCACCTTCCCACTTGTATGGGCTAATCGACTTTAAAGGGTTAATTCACCAAAAATGTCATCATTTACTCGCCCTCATGTCTATTCAAACTCTTCAGACTTTCGTTCATCTTCAGAATACCAATGAAGATCTTTTTGATGAAATCTGAGAGATTTCTGTTCCTCCATTGACTACCACTTAACGCAACTACCACTTTAATGCTTCAAAAAGTTAATAAAGAGATCGTGAAACTAATCCATATGAATTGAGCTATTTAGTCCAAATGTTCTGAAGAGACTCGATCGCTTTATGTGATGAACAGATTGAATTTAGGCTTTTATTCACATACAAACTAGGGGTGTAAATCGGACATTTAATCACGATACGATACGATATCGATTCTGTCAGCCAGCGATACGATATTTGCCGATACCTCAAAAAATTATACGATACAATTACCATTCGATTCGACTCAGGGCTGTATCGATCAATTAATCAATATTTAGATACTATGTGCCAAGTGTACACCACCAGTTACATTTATTAACTCACAAATATATTACATGAAAGTTTAATTAAACTCTTTGAAAATTTACAAGTTGGAGATATGTTTGAACATTTACAAGTTGTTTGTTACAAGTTTAAAAAAAACAAATGATGAAAACGAACAAGAGCGAAGTTATATGTTTTTGCAAATGAATTCTTCTGTTATATTAAAGTTAATTAAAAGGATTTATATATATATATATATATATATATATATATATATATATGTGGCAAAAGCAGATTACTCCACATTTCATGTTTCAGAGATAAATAAGCAAAGTAATTGCTATGATACATAATAAAACACTTGGTTAATCTGTAACGTTAATCTCCTCAGCTGACAACAGCTGACGACTGTTGTTGTGATTAACGTACACGCAATACAGAGAGCTTTTCACTCACCACTAAAACGTGCTGTTTTAGCAAAATTATGTGAAAAAGTTTCAACTTTTATTTTCCTTTTACGAGCCAAAGAAGATATCACGGGTTCATCAAGTTCACTGAAATCCATCCTCGATCACTTTTAGTCATGTTTGACGAAACTCCTCTCAGCTAGCGTGTCTTTCAAAGTGACAAGCAGCCTTGTCACCTGACCTGAATACTGCGCTCTGATTTGTTAAAATAGACTTTTTGTGGCTTGTCGCTTCTGCTGTAAAACCATAGACTGTGTGTAAAACAAACTCGCGATGTCTTTACAGTGGAGAAAAGTGACGTGAGGATGTGTAGTGTGTCAAAATAAAGGTACCGTATATCGATATTTTATGTGTGGTATCGGTGCATCGTATCGATAGACGTTTGATCGATGCATCGATCTACAGTATGTCGATGTATTGTTACACCCCTAATACAAACATTGATCAGTGAACATGAACAAAGCTCATTGGTTCTTGCTGAAGCTCAAACGTGATGCGTGACACGAGAATGAACCTCATTGGTTCTTGCTGAAGCTCAAACGTGATGCGTGAAACGAGAATGAACCTCATTGGTTCTTGCTGAAGCTCAAACGTGATGCGTGACACGAGAATGAACCTCATTGGTTCTTGCTGAAGCTCAAACGTGATGCGTAACACGAGAATGAACCTCATTGGTTCTTGCTGAAGCTCAAACGTGATGCGTAACACAAGAATGAACCTCATTGGTTCTTTCTGAAGCTCAAACTTGATGCGTGACACGAGAATGAACCTCATTGGTTCTTGCTGAAGCTCAAACGTGATGCGTAACACCAGAATGAACCTCATTGGTTCTTGCTGAAGCTCAAATGTGATGCGTGGCACGAGAATGAACCTCATTGGTTCTTGCTGAAGCTCAAACGTGATGCGTGACACGAGAATGAACCTTATTGGTTCTTGCTGAAGCTCAAACGTGATGCGTGACACGAGAATGAACCTCATTGGTTCTCACTGAAGCTCAAACGTGATGCGTAACACAAGAATGAACCTCATTGGTTCTTGCTGAAGCTCAAATGTGATGCGTGGCACGAGAATGAACCTCATTGGTTCTTGCTGAAGCTCAAACGTGATGCGTGAAACAAGAATGAACCTCATTGGTTCTTGCTGAAGCTCAAACGTGATGCGTGACACGAGAATGAACCTCATTGGTTCTCGCTGAAGCTCAAACGTGATGCGTAACACGAGAATGAACCTCATTGGTTCTTGCTGAAGCTCAAACGTGATGCGTAACACAAGAATGAACCTCATTGGTTCTTGCTGAAGCTCAAACGTGATGCGTGACACGAGAATGAACCTCATTGGTTCTTGCTGAAGCTCAAACGTGATGCGTGACACGAGAATGAACCTTATTGGTTCTTGCTGAAGCTCAAACGTGATGCGTGACACGAGAATGAACCTCATTGGTTCTCGCTGAAGCTCAAACGTGATGCGTAACACAAGAATGAACCTCATTGGTTCTTGCTGAAGCTCAAACGTGATGCGTGAAACAAGAATGAACCTCATTGGTTCTTGCTGAAGCTCAAACGTGATGCGTAACACAAGAATGAACCTCATTGGTTCTTGCTGAAGCTCAAACGTGATGCGTGACACGAGAATGAACCTCATTGGTTCTTGCTGAAGCTCAAACGTGATGCGTGACACGAGAATGAACCTCATTGGTTCTTGCTGAAGCTCAAACGTGATGCGTAACACGAGAATGAACCTCATTGGTTCTCGCTGAAGCTCAAACGTGATGCGTAACACGAGAATGAACCTCATTGGTTCTCGCTGAAGCTCAAACGTGATGCGTAACTCAAGAATGAACCTCATTGGTTCTTGCTGAAGCTCAAACGTGATGCGGAACACGAGAATGAACCTCATTGGTTCTTTCTGAAGCTCAAATGTGATGCGTAACACAAGAATGAACCTCATTGGTTCTTGCTGAAGCTCAAACGTGATGCGTAACACGAGAATGAACCTCATTGGTTCTTGCTGAAGCTCAAACGTGATGCGTAACACGAGAATGAACCTCATTGGTTCTTGCTGAAGCTCAAACGTGATGCGTAACACAAGAATGAACCTCATTGGTTCTTGCTGAAGCTCAAATGTGATGCGTGGCACGAGAATGAACCTCATTGGTTCTTGCTGAAGCTCAAACGTGATGCGTGACACGAGAATGAACCTCATTGGTTCTTGCTGAAGCTCAAACGTGATGCGTGAAACGAGAATGAACCTCATTGGTTCTTGCTGAAGCTCAAACGTGATGCGTGACACGAGAATGAACCTTATTGGTTCTCGCTGAAGCTCAAAAGTGATGCGTAACACGAGAATGAACCTCATTGGTTCTTTCTGAAGCTCAAACGTGATGCGTGACACGAGAATGAACCTCATTGGTTCTTGCTGAAGCTCAAACGTGATGCGTGACACGAGAATGAACCTCATTGGTTCTCGCTGAAGCTCAAAAGTGATGCGTGACACGAGAATGAACCTCATTGGTTCTTTCTGAAGCTCAAACGTGATGCGTGACACGAGAATGAACCTCATTGGTTCTTTCTGAAGCTCAAACGTGATGCGTGACACGAGAATGAACCTCATTGGTTCTAGCTGAAGCTCAAACGTGATGCGTAACACGAGAATGAACCTCATTGGTTCTTGCTGAAGCTCAAACGTGATGCGTGACACGAGAATGAACCTCATTGGTTCTAGCTGAAGCTCAAACGTGATGCGTAACACGAGAATGAACCTCATTGGTTCTTTCTGAAGCTCAAACGTGATGCGTGACACGAGAATGAACCTCATTGGTTCTCACTGAAGCTCAAACGTGATGCGTAACACAAGAATGAACCTCATTGGTTCTTGCTGAAGCTCAAACGTGATGTGTGAAACGAGAATGAACCTTATTGGTTCTCACTGAAGCTCAAACGTGATGCGTAACACAAGAATGAACCTCATTGGTTCTTGCTGAAGCTCAAACGTGATGCGTGACACGAGAATGAACCTCATTGGTTCTCGCTGAAGCTCAAACGTGATGCGTGACACGAGAATGAACCTTATTGGTTCTTGCTGAAGCTTAAACGTGATGCGTGACACAAGAATGAACCTCATTGGTTCTTGCTGAAGCTCAAACGTGATGCGTAACACGAGAATGAACCTCATTGGTTCTTGCTAAAGCTTAAACGTGATGCGTAACACGAGAATGAACCTCATTGGTTCTTGCTGAAGCTCAAACGTGATGCGTGACACAAGAATGAACCTCATTGGTTCTTGCTGAAGCTTAAACGTGATGCGTAACACGAGAATGAACCTCATTGGTTCTTGCTGAAGCTCAAACGTGATGCGTGACACAAGAATGAACCTCATTGGTTCTTGCTGAAGCTTAAACGTGATGCGTAACACGAGAATGAACCTTATTGGTTCTTGCTGAAGCTTAAACGTGATGCGTGACACAAGAATGAACCTTATTGGTTCTTGCTGAAGCTCAAACGTGATGCGTAACACGAGAATGAACCTCATTGGTTCTTGCTAAAGCTTAAACGTGATGCGTAACACGAGAATGAACCTCATTGGTTCTTGCTGAAGCTCAAACGTGATGCGTGACATGAGAATGAACCTCATTGGTTCTCGCTGAAGCTCAAACGTGATGCGTAACACGAGAATGAACCTCATTGGTTCTTGCCCGTCAAGCAAAGATGTTTGACCTTCCATTTAAAACAACTGATGTGTGTGTGTGTTGATTAATGTTTATATTTGATTAAAAGCCTAAATTAAATCTGTTCATCATATAAAGCGATCGAGTCTCTTCAGAAAATTTGGACTAAATCGCTCAATTCATATGGATAAGTTTCACGACCTCTTCATGAACGTTTTGAAGTGTCAATGGAGGGACAGAAATCTCTGATTTCATCAAAAATCTGAAGATGAACGAAAGAAGGTTTAAAATGACATGAGGGTGGGTAAATGATGACAGAATATTTCATGAATGAATTATATTTCTACCTGATAGTTTTAGTTTAGTTTGATTGTTGTTTGGCACAGGGACTGTTTTGAGGAAGTAAAAACACATACAGTATATTTATAATCTTACGAAGCCATAGGTCAGCTTTTTCTGAGAAAGTCCTTATATGCTAAAAAAAAACCTGTTGCATCTTTACAATCTCAATCAAAAGTAAAATGAGTAATAAATACCATTTAATTGTCTTTAAATGTTCAAACATTTGATGCTGGGAACATTATTGGTTAGAGAAAGAAATCTGCGAAGTTACAAACTAAAAATGTCCCTTTGTCTCTGCTACTTTTCTGCTATGGGCCGTCTGATGCATTTTGCGGTCAATGTGTGAGAACTGGAAAAAGTTTTCTGTTAAGAAGCTAAATTAATGTTTTTTGACATTGAAACATTTTGTTCCCACACGCTTTATACTTTTGTCAACAATGGGATTGCTGTGTACCGAAATACCTTAAAACGTCTGTAGAAAATTCAAAGGGCACATTCTGACTGAGTGAATCAGCGTCAGTCACTGAAGACATGCTTTGTGAGGATTATGTTTATAAAATGAGAAACCTTATATGTTTGTATATTGCTAGAAAAAGAAGCCTGGATTAACTTTAATTATAGTGGGCATATTAAGTCAAATCTTTCAAAAGAGTGTCGGTGGTTTTACACAGTGCTGTTGTCCTGACAGAGAGAGGAAGTGGACACATATGACTTGCATTTGAGCTCTTGTTATCGTGTTTTCCAGCACCGCTCCCTTCTGTCCCTGTTCAAAGCTTCGTTCATGCCTCTGTCCTCCCTCAGGTTCATGGAGGACACGACCGGAGAGTGGTTGAGACGGTTCGAAGGAACCGGTGTCCCCTGTGGCCCTATCAACAGCATTCAGCAGGTGTTCTCCAACCCTCAGGTTAGTGTTGGGTCTGAAACTGATCTAAACCAGTGGGTTTGCTAAAGGACACGGATTTTTATATTGGACCTAAACTCGCTACAGACAAGTGTTTATGGCACAAAAGGAAACACAAATGTATTAATATTCTGGTTGTCAAGGCTAACCTGTCCGTGTTGACGTTGTAGTTTGGCTGCTTCTGCAACATACCTAGAACATGACAACGTAACTTTATTTTGCCCCCCTAACTGCAATATGCACAATTATATGGTTCATTGCATTTTTAGGGCCCAAGCCCTGAAAGGGCGAAGGCCCTATTGTTTTCCTTGGGATTATTATTCTTCTTTAGTATTATTATTATTTTGCTACCTTTTGGGCACTTTTGGGGCCCTTAACGTGCTCGAAAACTCTTGAAACTTTGCACACGGGTCAGAACCCGCGGCCATCAGAGCCGGGCTGAAGATGGTACCCGGGCGTGGCAGGGCAGCTCGTCAGCGCCCCCTGGAACGGGGTCCGAACACTTGGTCCATAACTCAAACACGCTTGTATGTAATAATATGAAACTCGGTACACACGTTGATCTCATCGTTTCATCTATACCTCGCGCTCTTACTTTTTACCCCAGCCCAACAGGAATTTGGCTATTGAGGTTTGTTTGTAAAACGCTCGCAATGGAATGTCAAATACTCCTCCTAGAGCTTTGATCCACATTCGACGAAACTCGGTCAGCGTGAAGTCAAGACATTGAGGATGAAAGTTTGCGAGGGGATTTTTTATATCTCGAACGGTTTGTCCGTGGCGAGGAAACGAAATCATGGCGAGAAACGTGAAACAGGAAGTGTGTTATAACTTCAGCATACATTAACTGATCTTGATGAAACTTCAGCAGTGTGTTCGCTGTAAGAGGACGATCACATGGATGTGACTATTGTGAGTCAAAGTTATAGCGCCACCAACTGGCAGCAGGAAGTGTGTCACTTTCAAAATGCTTAGATATCACCCTTTTATTTTTACCCGATTTGCTTCAAACTTCATATGTATAATGTAAACATACGGCAGATGTAGACCTGTGAATGGATTCTTGATATCTTTGAAACTGTTGCCGTGGCGACGCATCAAACTTTACCCTTCTTTTAGGATGCTTTTAGGATGCTTTTGAGACCCTTAGCATGCTTCAAATTGCATGAAACTCGACAGACACATCACATTTATTAGCCAGTAGACATGTGCAAAGTTGCAGAAACGGGCGTGGTAAGGGCTCAGTAGCGCCACCTTTTGACAAAAGTGGGGTGGTTAGTTTTAACTAGAGTTACAAAAATTGGTATGTATATTGTACTCCTCGAGCCGGACAACTTTCTAATTGACACTTATTAGCTAGGACCCACAGAAAGTCAGATATTTTTGTTTGAATATGGCCACTCTGAGCCTACATGTCTCTGTGTCTTTGGCTGGCTGGCTGGCTGTCTGTGTGTGTGTGTGTGTGTGTGTGCAGGGGGAGGGGGCTTAACCATTTCACTGCTGTGTGTATGACCTGCATAAAGAAAATACATTTCTCAAGCCTGGTATTTTTTAAATAAGTTTTTATTTTTATTTTTTATAAGTAAAGGCATATAACTAGTTTAATTGTAGTGAATTGACAATAGTTTTATATAATTAGTTTATTAATCAGATTAACTTGGTCAATAAACTTGGTCTGAAAATTTGGTCCATAAATCAAACACACTTGCATGTAATAATATGAAACTTGGTACACATATAGATCTCATCGTTTCATATATACTTCACACTCTTACTTTTTACCCCAGCCCAACAGGAAGTCGGCTATTTAGGGTTGTGTTTAAAACACATGCAATGGAATTTAAATTATTGCTCCTAGAGCACTGAACCAAATTCGACGAAACTCGATCAGCGTGAAGTCAAGACATTAAGGATGAAAAAGTGCCACGGGATTTTTTATATCTCGAACGTTTTGGCCGTGGCGAGGAAACGAAATTATGGCGAGAATCATGGAACAGGATGTGTGTTATAACTTCAGCATACATTAACTGATCTTGATGAAACTTCAGCAGTGTTTTCGCTGTAAGAGACCGATCACATGGATGTGACTATTGTGAGTCAAAGTTATAGCGCCACCAACTGGCAGCAGGAAGTGTGTCACTTTCAAAATGCTTTGAAATCACTCTCTTATTTTTAACCGATTTGCTTTAAACTTCATCTGTATAATGTAAATACACGGCAGATGTAGACCTGTGAATGAATTTTTGATATCTTTGATACTGTTGCCGTGGCAACGAAACAAACTTTAACATTATTTTTTTATGCTTTTGGGACTCTTAGCATGCTTGAAATTGCTTGAAACTCAACAGATACATCACATTTATTAGCCAATAGACATGTGCAACTATGGCAAACGATTAAAGTAATGTCAAAAAAGTAAACACTAAAAGCCTCATATCTTCTAAAAATGTAATTATACATCATTTGTTTCTAAATTAAATTATACAAATATTATAACTTCCCCAATTTTTCCTTTTTTTCATTTAAGAATTGTGTTTACGTTCAAAAACAGCCAGAATTGTTGTAAAATTCATAAAAAAATAATAATCTGAGTCATACGTAGTGCTATACTGCCCTCTTGTGTTCAATATCAGGTAGACCTATTGTGTATATTCCCACCGGTTAATCAACGTGTGACTCCGCTGGGACTTGGGAGCTTTTAAATCGCTTACTTAAAACCGAAAGTCGAGATACGGATGTCCGCACAAGACATTAATGGTGTGGAGTAGAGCGAGCATTTTAAATAAATTCCTATTAAGTAGGATTGAACTAAACAGAAAGAATGTTCACTCTGTTCTGCTGGTTCCTCGCTGGTGGATCATATGATTACTTTGTCATAATCTATGACAAAAATGCTATTATAAACCATATTAATAATAGATAATACACATTGCTCTTATTTTTGAAAAATACATTCATGAAAAACAAGATAACAAAAATCATTAAAAAAAAATATAGCCATGGCTGCTATAAAGCAACATATAATTGAAAGGCAATTAATAATCTGTCATTACGTCACTGCATTATGATATTACGGCTCCAATACGGTGCAGCACAAAGCACTTATGTGCATCCCGAGCGGAGAATGATGTGCTTGAAGCCACATGAAGTTACAGCGCATTGAGTCCGTATTGAAAAGTTCAAAGCACAAAGGAAATACATATTTATGAACAGTGTATTATACATTATCTATCTATGCAATAGTTTATTGAGCCTTTTCTTTTAAAGGTTTTAAATTTCAGTTACTGTGTGCGTGAAGAACAATTATAGTGCTCTGACTCTAGTGTTGTGATCTAACCGACAGCGTCCGACACCCGGTAGAAAGTAACACGATTAAGTTACAGCAATAAAGTCCAGCAAGAAAAAGTTTCTTCATTCGAAAATATAGACCTTTAGACCTTTATCTTAAAGATCCAGTATAATAGGATTAACATTGAATCATTGAAGATCGTTTCATCATTGACTGTAACCGAATGTGACGTGCTGTTTGAATGCTGAATGGAGAATGACTGACAGGCGCAGAGAGGGAAAAGTTTGTGTTCTTGAATTTAATGACTTAAATATTAATTTCTATATCACATAATAGCTTCAGAACACTAATAATACAGTACACAAAAACTTTATGGTACTTTAGAAAGTTTTTGTGCCTTTGTGCCTAACAGAATAGTATATATGCACAATATAGAATTTGAATCAGCCTCGTCAAAGATGGCAGTGTCAGAGCCGATACCGATCCTGAGTATCTAATCGGCGCACTTCTTTTCAACAGTCAAATTGAAATTGAAATTGCTTGAAACTCAACAGATACATCACATTTATTAGCCAGTAGACATGTGCAAAGTTTCAGAAACGGGCAATGTGCAAGGACTAAATAGCGCCACCTTTTGACAAAAGTGGGGTTGTTAGTTTTATCTACAGTTACAAAAATCGGTATATACATTGTACTCCTCAAGCCGGACAACTTTCTAATACATAGTCATTAGCTCGGACCAAGAGGAAGTCAGATATTTTGGTTTGAATATGGTGAGCCTCTCTCTGAGCCTACGTCCCTGTATGGCAAGCCCTTTTAACATTTAAAAGCTAAGTTTGCCTGTCCGGAATTAACATTGTAGATATCAACAACGTCTTTCTGTCTATTCGTAATTACATTTTGGATAGTTTGTATTATCATTTAAGACATCTGTAACATAATTGTGACTAGTCGAAATGACAGAGTATGGCAAGCCGTTTTAACATTTAATCATAAAAGGGCCAAAGCCTTCGGCACCGCTACCCGGATGCCTTTAGGTAACTAAAGGAACCGGGGTTGCGGTGCCACCGGCTTGGGCCCGCCATCGCTGCTCGCAGCTATATTATTATTTATAATTATTATTATGTTATTTGTATACATTGTGCAACACTACATTGAAGCTACATAATAATAATAAAATAATATGATAAATAACATATTTATACATTTTACATGATTTAAATTTTATATATATATATATATATATATTTTTTTTTTTTTAAATATAATTTAAATCATTTGTACATGTGTGCTTACTGCGCATAATTATGTTGTATATATAAATACACTTATGCACCAATATATTTAAGAAAAATTTATTAATTATATATATATACAGTGTATATATATATATATATATATACAGTGTATATATATATTAGGGCATAAAATAGAATAATAAACTATATATTTTTGGTTATAGTTTACAATAAGGTTGGATTAGTTAATGTTACATTAGTAATGCATTATATTATGTATTGTACAATATATTAGCCGTATACATGTTATTTATATATAAAATATTAATATTTATATATATAATATAAATTATGTATAAATATACATACAATATATACATGCACAGCACACACACACACACTTATATTATGTAAATACAAACATTTATTTTGGATGCGAATAATCGGGACTAATCGTTGCCCAGCATTAATATATA